CTAAAGCTGTTTCCATTTTAAAAAAACAAAAGTATGTCGCTCAACTCTTTCTTCCGGCTCTTGATTGCTCTTGCTTGTGGAAGAGTTCTTAATTTCTAAAGGTACATAAGCTCTTTGCATTCCAGCTGACAGCGCTCAGGGTCTTCCAGCTCTTTCTCCAGGAGCCCCAGCACGTCATCATCCTGGGCTTTGATCCGCTTCCCCCCCACCCCCTCACTTTCTCTCTTCAGTTTGTACCTTGTACGTACCCCTGGCCCCACTCTTTGTGGAAAGGACTTAGCCACACAAGCCAACTAGTACCTCTGATTGTACCTTTGGTAGAGAGAGAGAAGTAGTAATTCCTTTGCTTGGTTTTTGAGTCTCAGACTTTTTGCCACACATCGAGAAGTTTGAAAACTACAAATAAGAAGTCAGGGCGTGTTCAAACCCAGTTTGGAAATTTTCCTTTGGCTCCTATGTTGGTATATTCTGCCCATGTTGGCCTCATCCTGACACCCTCCTGGTTCAGTTACAGCTTCTGCAGCGCGGTGAGCCTCTTCCCAAACCTCTCCCGAACCTGACTGGCGCCTGAGGCAGGGAACTGGGTTGTAAAAGTATTTCACATTGAAAGCAGGGCTCTGCTTGCAGGGGATTTGGTTTTAGGTTTCTTAAAGAGTGTGTCGCTCACTTCCACAGAAGAGAAGACCGGAATAGTGTTCATGCGCTAAACATCTAGGAAGATAATGAAATATCTAAGTGACTGGAAATGCAACAGATTTCTTCATTAACCATATTTCTGGCTCTTGTTTAGGTTTCTGGTTGATTTTTCGGTTTATATATTTTAAAGTCAGTCTTCAAGATAGGTTTGTGAAGATAACTTGCTGTTTTATTGTTTACCTCTAGTTGTTAATTTAGTGACTGAGGCAAAAATGGGGCCATTATGGAACAAAAAGGCTCGCCTAACACATATGTAATAACTCTCATGCCCAGAATGGATCTGCCTTGAAGGGAAATGCTCTGCTGTTACTCCTTTAGTTCAAATATAGAGTAGTCACCAGGGAAGCTCGGAGACCCAGGTGCTGGTTTTATCATTGCCTGTGCTATGAGGTTTTATTTATTACTTGGCATAGAGTCTAGATATTTGTTTGGACATTAAATGGCAATAGAATATAAATATTACCTTCCTAATATCTGCATTTCTTTTTATTTCCAGTCAAAATGACATCATGTCACACAACCATTAAAAAAAGGAAATTAAAACCCCAGAAATATGTTAAAGCGCTGCAGCGAGTCTCTGAGCTATAAAAGCAGGGGAACTCTGCGCTAACATTGGAATGGCACCGAAAGAGCTTTTCCTGTGCTGTTTGGGAACACAGCTCTCCAGCCCCTCATTTCCATTGTTTCCAGGAATTAAGTATTCGAGAAGTTCAGAAGGACAGAGGAGTGATTTCTCTAAAAAGAAACTCTGAAAAGAGAAAAGTCAGTTTTCATAACTGAGAATGCATCCTTCCTGACTATAAAATTTTAATTTGCAAATAAATCCCCTTAGAGAGAATTTCCTTACTTGATGTGTGTGAAGTGGATTTAAAAAAAAGACTAAAGGCATGAAAAGGCCACAAATGGCATTTAGTTACAATTTACTCATTACAGATGTTTTGAATGGATTTTGTAATTTTTTTTTTTTTGAGAGAGCATGTGCACGTGTGCACATCAGTGGGAGAGGGGGCAGAGGGAGAAAGGGAGAGAGAGAGAGAGAGAGAGAGAGAGAGAACCCCAAGCAGACTCCCTGATGAGTGCAGAGCCCAACACAGGGCTCAGTCCCACGACCCTGGGATCATGACCTGAGCCAAAATCAAGAGATGGATGTTCACCTGAGTCACCCAGGTGCCCCTGGATTTTGTAATCTTGTCATTAGTATTCGTGCATAAAATCTAATTGCATTATTTTAAATGTTCCTTGCATATAGCATTTCATGCTGCATGAACACTTGGACACTGTAAATAATAGTTTTGTATTATCAGAGCTGTTCTGTCTTGACCAGGACCTCAGTTGAAGCCCAAAGAAGGGCTCTGCTTAGATTGGTTCTGCATAGAAAGTTACTGATTTCCTCTGGGGGAGTTTGAGATTGTGAGACCAGGAAAGCCAGCCCCCACAGCCATTTATAAACAGTTCCAACACAAGGCCAGATGTAGGGGTTTGATTTTTTTTTAACTATTTAATTAACTTTTACTCTTTGAAAAGTAATGACTTTGATGCCCCTGAAATGCCAACCAGTTCATCAGTCTTTTGGGGCTGGATGACATATTTCTTTCAGAAAGTTTGTTTTTAAGGGCTTTTGGTTTTGTGACACAAAACAGTTAATTCCTACAAATGCCATCTGGATTCATGGTGGGCACTAAAAATGATGATTGAGTCAATGGAGAATTTCGTATAATGTGGAATTTTTCAGATGCCTACATTGTTCCTATTCTACTGTGATGATTTAAAAATTGGGGCTTTTTCAATTTGGGATTACAGGTTTTTCTAGACCTCTGAGCCTCCCTTATTCTGCTACTGTCCCTGCCTGGTTTCAGATGACACCCTCCGAAGCCCTTTTCAGAGAACATGGACTAGGTATTTGGAAGCGGAGTCACAAAATGCTCTCTCATCCTTGCCTTCCTGTTGCCATTTATAGCTTCATCTGTTTTTCTTTTTCAACCTAAGATGCTCATGCTTCTTTATTTGTGGTTAATTATGCCCAATTAAGTTTTTCTTTCTTTCTCTACTAGATTCTCAGAATTGTCCTAAGTTTTAGGGGGAAAATTGATTAGTCCCATTTCTACTGGTGCCCCCTGAGCCCTGTGCTTGAATACAATGAGGTCACTTTGTTGAAGGATTAACTTTATATTACATTCTTGCAGAGTAGACGTATGTCCCTAAGGTACGACTACCCCCACTGATGAAATAAATATACCATTCTTTATGATTCCTCCTCGTTACCCTCTCTGTTGATTTTCAGAGAGTTTATGAATAGTCACATATTTATACAACTGGCCAAAAGTATACTACTTATTTTTCTTATAGTCTGTAATAACCTATGCAAGGTTATTAAAGGGTATACAGACCCCTTTTAAGGCATAGTTTCTTATGTCATTACTTTATACAAGGAGGTCACATTCCATCTCGGCAACAATCTCTTGCTCTTAACCTTTTTCTCTGATTATAAAAGTAATACATGTTCATTGTGGGAAATTCAGAGAATGTACAGCACAAAGAGAAGGAAGAAAAGCACTTTAAGACCCACTTTTTGGAAATAACTACTGTTAAGCAGTTTATATATAGACATATTTTCTTTATTCTGTGTATGTTCATTTTTTAAAAAGTAACCATATTGTATATATGCTCCTGTAATCTGCTTGTTAACCTAGCCGTATATTATATGTCAGTAAATAATTTTTTTTCCCTGTAGCATTGCTTTTGAGGACTGCATCATATTCCATCCCATGGGTATGCCATGATTTTACCATCCTCCTCCCTAGCCACTTAATCTGTTTTTAGGGGGTTTTGCTTTGTTTTGTTTTAAGTAACAATCTTTATCAGATGACCCTTCTCATTCAGTAATCCTTTTTTTATTTTTCTCTAGTCAATGCAATGAGAGAACTCATCAGGCACATTTGAATCTAAGACAATGAGCTTTGTCTTGCATATTTTTAATGCTGTCTTTGTCTATAGCACTGGACCACACCTTGTAATGGTCTATACCTAAATTAAGGGCAGGTTAATATATTGAAACATGTGAGTGTAGAGCAAGTCATAAAGGCATGGGAAATAAATTAAAAGCCTTTATCTAACTATCTGAAATACATCCCTTCACATAGTATACTTCCATAGAGTAGATGCTTATTTCCCTTGAATAATGAGTTTAATATATCTTAATTACGTTTTGTGGCAGCAGAATGACTTCTCCTCAGCTCTTTAGCTGTTAGTTCCATATGATATTTGAATTGGCTCTTTTAACTGCAGATACTAAGTGTTGGTCATTCTGCTGTGAGTTGGCTGTATGGACAGAGAAACACATCCTCCCCTCATAATGTCAGACATTCATTCATTTAACAATCACCCGTTTCTTGACACGGTAGGAATCAATTCATTATGCAAACAACTGCAGGAACAGGTCAACAATTCAAGTTTTATTGGTGGCTTAGCCTGAAAAACAAAAACAAGAATTAGAATTCAGATATTAAAATGATACACTTAATTGTTTAAAGCTATTTTTATGGTTAAACATCTTGGATGGCAATTAGTAATATGGGTGGAGGATGGATGTGACATATATCTTAAACCTAGGTGCTCATTCCTGTCCCTCTCATGCACTTCTTGATTAAATACCATGGATTTTACGAGTAACAGCTTCCCTGCATGAAGAGTTCTATGGCTTTTTCCTCTACATGTCTAATTTGAAAAAAGAATTCTTCTCAAGGGTTTAGAAAGTAATTCATAAAATGGGAGGAATTATAAATATTGTGCCTTAACTCATATACTAGTATAGATAGAAAGATTTGGTACACCTGGGTATAATTTTAGTTAATTTCCACAAGAGACAGGTTGAAAGTTTACTGTTTGGAAGCTGGGGAAAGGGGGAGAAGATGGCTAAATCTCATATTTGTAAAAATGATTACATTGTCTTAAATGAAAATGCTACTCTATTAACAACTTCAATAAGCATTGCATTTGGGAAAATCTTTTCAATAAAAAGTTACCTGAAGTTCACTCCAACTTAAAATATACAAGTGAGGAAAAAGTACTTACTCTGATTTATGTGTCTTTTGGAGGTGTAATTATTGGCTTTTTACTCACCTATGTAAAACAATGTACTTTTGTAAATGGATTTCTGGCCACTTTACGCAGCTTTTTTTTTTTTTTTTTTTGTTTTTTTTTTTTTTTTTTGCCTTTTTTTTTTTCCCTACATAAAAAGTAAGCACTGTCAATCAAGGAATTTTAAGGTTTATTTCCTCTTTAGAAATGATTGATAGCCTTTTAGATTTACAAGTTGACAAGTTAAAGGGTTCTATTGGTATAATTATGTACTAAATTCACAGTCTTTCAATTTAAATGTCCTTTTAAAACCACAAGATTATCATACCTGTATTTTGAAAAGTGGGCCAGTCAGTTTGGGTTGGTATACAAATTGCTTCCATTAGCCTTGGGACCTATTTGAATTTAATACAGTTTTTTAAAGTTAGTAGTAGTATGAATCTTACTTTTGAAATTTAGGTTAATGGAAATGCATTTTAAGTAAAGCATGTGGCAACTTGTTTTCTAATGTATAGCTAAATGTCAGAACTACAAAGACTGTCTTTTTACTCGGTGTGGGAGAAAATATGTGGTTGAAAACGTTAGTTACACTAAAAAAGAAAAGAAGAAAAACACCCACCCTCCCACCCACCCATTACTTAGAGGATACGGGGGATGTGGGTAGAGGACTGAGCTGCCATCTTTTCCTGGTCAGGTGAGGAAGGCTGAAGATATTTCATACCTTGAGAAGGAATTTTGAAAATTATAGACCAGAGTCTACTTCGTATCACACTTAATTTAAGGAGGCTTTGAAGAGTGTATACAATATGAGTACAATAAGGCCCATTGTCTCCAAATATTATTATAGGTTTGTTCTTCTTTTAGTCTTTTTAAGAATTTTTCTTGGAGACCCATATGCTCTATGCTAGTGCTCCACAGAGGCTAGTCTTTTTCCTGAAATAATACTGATGTTAGTGAATGAGTCTGTCATTTTAGATGTGAGGGTGTTGTATCGAGGACATTTTCAACACCTATCACCTTGCAGACTCTATCAAGTGTAGACTAGGTTTTCTATGCTGAGAAGATCTCATCTCCCTGCCCCTCACCACGTTCTTGCAGGCTGAATCACCACAGAGGCATCGGCTTGTGTGGTGTGCTGAGATCTACTACAGATTTTTCAGTTAAGCAAGTACTTGTAATTCTGCTGTTTATAATGTGTGGATACCTTCAGACAAGGCCTTGAGTATTTATTTTCCCCTGAGCTTTTAGCTAGTGGATCCTAAAACTTCATATCAAATACCATTTTACTTTCTATTTTTGATTATGTAAGCAATATAGAATTTGGTCAGAAGAACTGAGTTCAGGAGTCATTACTAAGGTTCCTACCAATGTTCTTTTGAGTGAGTCCCTGCCTACCATGGTAAATAGCAGAAGTAGACAGTGAAAATGTTCAGCAAGGGGATTGTGCATCTGATCATCTTGTGATGTAATTCAAAAGTATAAATTAAATTTCTGACTCCTAGTTGTTTCCATGCCATCAGTGTTAGTTTCTGTTTTATTTAATGAAATTGTTCTAATCCTGTGACTTCTTCCTTGCAGCGCTCAATGAACCCACCATCGATTATGGTTTCCAGAGGTTACAGAAGGTCATTCCTCGGCACCCTGGCGACCCCGAGCGTTTGCCAAAGGTCAGGATTCTTCTCTTTGGGGTTACAGTCTCTGTAACTTGACTTGAGCTTAGGTGATTAGCAGAAAACTTTGCTATTGATGAAATTAGCTCATAGGTGAACAATGCAACATTTTTGTCTTTTGTGTGTTTGGTACTATAAGGTAAACAATAATAAAAGTAGCAAGCATTTATGTGCCAGGTAGTGTTATTCTTATTTTTACATATATTATGTCATTTCTTCCTTTCAAAAACCCTCTGAGTTGGTACTTTTATTTTAGAGAAGAAAATAATCAAGCAAGGAGAGGTTAAATCATTTGCCCAAGGTCACAAGCATGTAAATTGCTAAACTGAGATTCAAATCTATACAACCTGGCTCCAAAGTCCAGGTTATTAATCATTGCATCATATCAATTCTTAAGAGGAAAGAGAACACTGGCTTTCTACCTATGCAAGGATTTATACCTATCCCTAATGCAGCTAGAACTCAAAAGAAACATATTGGTAGATCTTGCAACTGGACAAATAAGACAGAGCCTTTTACCTCCAGAGGCATCCTACCTAATTGGAAATAAGGTATAAAAGTGTGAGAAATTAAACAAAAATTCAAGAGTAGTATATGTCATGCAGCAATACACTGAAATTGCCAATACAGAAAGTAGGAAATTCACATATTGACTTCTATTCTGTACCTGTTGTCAATATCGGGGGTATTCTCATCTCTGTACCCGAGGAACACGGGCCTTGTGTCACAGAGATCACTATACACAACTAGTCACTAGAGGAAGTAATAGATACATTTAACCAAAGTGCAACCAAAGTCCTGTGAGGACTCCGAATAGAGAACAATTAAATAAGTTTAAAATACAGAATTAGTGGAACTACCATTCACCATTTACTGACAGCAAAATAAAGTTTCATTTATTACACAAATGGAAACTATTATAAATTCAATGAGTAGATGAGAGGTGCTCTCCTTGCTGGAATAAGGCTGGAGATATGTCACTTCTGAGTCTGTTTTGCCTCATAAAACACTTACAAAAATGAAGCTGGCGTCCTTCTTAGCTCAACAGACTTCTTCAGGGGATCGGCTTACTGCCAGATCCTACCTGTGTGCCTGGTACCCTGTCAGAACAGACCTTGCCCAGGAGAAAAGTGCCCCCCCCCCAAATTGTTGCATAAATGAGAGGAGCCAGTAGAGGAGAGGAGGGACACTACCTGACTGAAGAGAGGAAGAACTGTGACCAGCAAGAATGGGAGTTCTCTACCTAGACCTGGGGGAAGAAGCACACAGCCTCAGTCTCTAGCTCTGGCTTCCGGGAACAGCCTTGCTTCTGCCCAGTGTTGTGGACCTTACTGAAAGCGTTTCACCTCAGGAGGAAACCATATGGTATGTCAGACTGTTCATATCCTTGTCTTTGAAACAGGCCTCCATCATACACATCCTTCTCTTTCACCTGACTTAGTGAACGGCAATCTCCGTCTGTAGTATAGATGTGCCTCGGAGAGATTTACTTTCAAGGCCCTCTGTCTAGCCAGAACCTAGCTCCCATGCATTTCCTGTGGGATTATAATTGGTAATTTTATAGCACAATGATATAAATGATGTGTGTCCACCCAGCGGTCAGTGCCTGAGGTGTCTCAGTGGTAGAAAGAAGACATGGGCACAATGACAGACTTGTCTTAATTTTTCCTTTTGGGGACAGTCTTCACTTGTGGCATTTGCTGTCTCTAGAGTCTGCTGAAGGACCTGGAGAGTCCGATTGGCAGGGGTGGAACTCAGAGCAAGGACATTTACTAGCTATGCAGCAGGGGTCAAAATTCTTGTTTCCCCCCTCCCCCCAAATTCTTTGCCTCTGTGCCTCAGTTTCCTTCTCTATCAAATGGAGATGGTAATATTTTCCACTTTTTCTGATAGTTATTTCAACCAGTTATTTAGCACTCAACAAAAGATAGCTATGATTATCTGCAGGTGAGTAAGAGTGGGATTGTTGCTTCTTAGGGCTCTTCCATCCAATCTCTGCAGAGCAGGAAATCTTAATCCTGGTGGCAGTTGAAAGTATGATTCATCTTCTGTGCCTCAGGTTTTTCATCTATAAAGTGGGGACAATAATCGCGCTGACTTCCTGGGGATCACGTAAGGAAAAAAGGAAGTAATCCTGTGGATGCACTCTAGCACAGCTATCTGGCTCACAGTTGCTTCTCTGTAAATATTTATTGAAAAAAAAAAACAACAGAAGATAAATCTGATTTAACGGTTGAGGTCTAAAGAAGCCAGGAGGTACTTTTCTTATTCATAATGAAATAAGAGAAATAGGCATATAGGGCTTATTTTTGTGTACTTTTAAAACCATTTTTACAGTTGCACATCACATTCAGAAATGTTGAACAAATAGCACAGGCACGTGTCACTGCATCCCCGGTGGCCTGATGGTGAAGTTCCCAGCCTTCTTTTCCTGGGTTTGGGAGGAGTAATCAGGACACAATGGATTTGTGTGCTGAGGAAAACACTCCGCAGCCTGCATCTAGCCACTTGACTGCTCAAGGGCTCTGGCCGGAGCCGCCCCAGGAAGTTCTCTGTGTGACTCAGACCAGAGTGGCTGTCCTCCTGGCTCTGAATGTTAAGGTGGAGGGAGAGTTCAAGAGCAGGGTCAGGAAGTGGTAGATGGAGCCAGCTCGAGGTATTCCTGTGGACTTGGGAGATTTATACTCAGGCTGTCCATTGTTAGGGGGATAAAAACGGGCTCCGCCTTTCTTAGAATCATGGTCAGTGTTTGTCAAACAGGAGTGTTTCAGTGAGCCATGGACCACACACCTTAAAAAACAAACTGCACTTTATTAAACCCATGTGTTTGTGAATAGACAAAGCTAGATTCATACAACCACCCACATATTCTGTCAAATGAAACTGCTCCAAAGACCAAGCAGACAGCTTTCCATAATAATATGCCTTTGTATACTGGCTTGTGCTTTTTCAAAGAACTTGTACATGTTTTGTTTTATTGGAGCCCCTCTTATGAGAGAAGTCGGGAAAATAGACATCATTCCCATTTACCAAATGAGAAAACAGGAGCAAGATGAACCCTTCTCTGTCAACTATTTTGTTCCTGAAAGTCACCATTAGTGACAGCGGCTGTACGCACACATTTAAAACAGTATAATTATCCTAAGCCCAGGTGTTATTTGGTTTCCTTTTTCAGATGCGCAGGGAGAAAGGTGGACTAAGATTTTAAATGGAACTGTTCTGTTCTGTTTCATACAAACTTGCCTCCCTCTCTGGATCCTGGCAGGAGGGAGAAGAACACGTGATGGACTTTGGGGTGAAGGTTGACTCTTCATGTAATGTGGCGGTGAGGGGATGGGGACTGTGGTCAGTCAGAGACCATGAGATGCAGACATGTATGACGCAATCCAGAAGCACTGAACAAGGAGTTCTCTCTGTTTTGAAGGCCAGCGGTGTCTCCACCCTCTTTCAGTGTATTAGTTGTCTTCCTGAGTGGGCAGTGAGCATTAGCACAGAGGCGTGGAGAGTGGACCAAACCTCACCGGCATTCTGTGTGTTGCCAGTGAGTCCCAGGGAGCACGTAGTGTCACTTCATGCCCAAGGTATGCCGGGCACTGCTCTATCAAGGTGTTCAAAGAGCACAGAGGCCGAGAGAGTGAGCTCTCAGCTCAGACAGATATGGAGTTGGCAAACCAGATCCACTGCTCTGTGCAGTGACTCAGCCTTTCCAGCCTCTGTTTTCTCTTCCTCAACGCATGGTTGCTGTTGGGCATTGGTGAGATAATTTAGGCGAGGAGGCCTCTCTGGTATCTAGCAAGACTCCAGTACGCAGAGGCCACAGGCCCTGCAAGGCAAGGACTCCCCACTCCACAGGAGCCAGAGGCCCAGAGGGCTGGCGACTTGCCCGACTCCACAGCTAACAAGTGGGAAGACTAAAATTCGAGTCCTTGGGCTTGACTGCCTGACTGTCACCATTGCATCATATTCCCACTTTTCCTTCGGATCTGGAAACCCAAATAATTCTGTCTTGAGGTGATTAGCTCCGGTCTCCTATTCCTCGCCTACACCTTTCCCCCATCCTACTTAAACTCTTGCCAGCTTTCTCGCATCATCCCACTGAAGGGGGTTGGCACGGGGACCTCCGTGGGGCAAAAGTGTCTCTACCAGAGCCAGTCCTTCTTTTAGAGAAAATAAAGCAGTTTGAGAAAAGTAACAAAGGCAGCATTTGTGTATTTTGCTTTATGGAGCTGAAAATATCTGGTAAATTGATCCAGTGGGAGTAATAAATACACATTACTTTATCTTGTTCTTCATGTCCTATACCCCTGAGCCTTGATAGAACAACACCACTTAATAGACTTAAAAAAGAGTAATTACACTCATTGGTTGTGTGATTTTTCAGCCCTCCCAGCCCTGCCTGACCTTCTAATTTAGCTCACCGTGTCTAACTAATGCATTTATATTCATCTTTTATGAAGCATGTATAGTACAGAATTGACTTTAGAGCTTTTTTCAAGCTGTCCTCCCAGGTCTCCAATCTGGTTCGTAGTAAGGAGAGTGGGAACCATCCATCTCTATACTCTGTTCACATGTATAGATAACGCATACACAGGGCTCATGGCATTCTTTTATTTTTTATGAAACATAATAAAAAGTATTTATTACATTTTTACTTTAAAGCTTTTATACCTTCTAGCATTATTTACAGCTAAACATGCAGGCAAAAGATGCGAGTGTTTTTAAAATGATTACTGTTAATGTTTCTGCTTGTCAGAAGTGCTTAAATTTTCCTGCACTTTGTCTAAAAACTTAGTACTGTTGCCTTTTAAGAACAACACATTTAAAAGATCTTGCAAGTCAGATTTGCAAACACTGCTGACAGTTTGTGATGAATGATATTGCAAAATTTGCAAGATGTTTGTCATTTTGCACAGCTGACATATTAAGTAGCAGATTAAGAAATGCAAAACCCCTATGGAAAACAACTATCCCAAACAAAAACCAAAACAAACCTCAAG